CATGTTCACTGTAAGGGGAACAGACAGAGCAAGTTTCATCTCTGGTAAAAGCGTACATAACCAAAGGTAAAGTAAGAAAATGCAGGTTGTAGGAAAAGATGTTTTGTTACATTTGTTCAATTTTCTGTTAGCCATGACATGCATAAATGTAGAATATACTTTTTTTTGGTTATAGTCATTAGAAATTTCAAGCGATTTTATATTTAGCTCCATTTATGTTCTTAAATATCACACACATAGTAATCATTCTTCCTGTTACAGAATAGAACGACTCTGGCGTGATGTGTGGACAGCGGTGACTAGCACATATTACGATACCCTCCATAGTCTTGAAGAAGATGGCTTGCTGGACATCTCAAACACACTGCATATTTTCCTTGTCCACTTTGTGTTTCTTCCCCGTCTCTGCAAAGACTTGCAGGCATTTGCTGAGGGCTGGAACCATCACCCCCTACGCACTGAGGGAAATATGACCCCACATCTGTTGTGGGAGATGGGACTTATGCAGAATAGCATCAGTGAGCTTGAAAGTTTAGAGGTATGAATGAGTTTTATTTCTCTAATTTATAACAAAAAATAATGTTTTTAAGAGGTTGCTTATTTGACTAGGAATTTTAATGATTATATTTCCCTAGGATATAGAGGACCTTGATATAGACTGGGAAAGTGCCATTTTCCATGAGGAATCATCAACAGAATTTGGAGTTGTGGTTTCAGAACTCCTCCCCCCTCTAAATGAACAAGAAATAAGAAGCCTCCAAGCTGCTGTTGACCATACAGTGACATCACACTCAAATGGTAGAGACATCTATATTCAGTGCCTTCGTATTTTTCATTGACCAATTGTGAATATGCTAAATCTATTGTCCTTTGCTTGTTCATATCTACTAGAGATGGAAACATGTATTTTCCAATGAATCTTTATTGAACACCAGAAAAAATGTTCAAATAGTGAACAGTGTAATATTCAATATCACTCTTTTAAGGTGTTACCCTAAACTAAAGCTGAGTAACACAAAGAAGCATGTGGTGCTGAACAGTGTTTGTGGAATACTTACCATATGACAGATTAAACTCTTTATATTAACGTTTTATATC